ACAGAACTCCATCCGAGGGCTCACAATCACTACAGCGTCTGCATGCATCAGCTGGACTGAGGCCAGAATGGGGAGCAGAGTCGCCTCTGAGCTGACACTGATGCTATAAAGCCCAGCGTTCAGTCCTACTACAGGAAAACATCTTCTATTTCTAACATTTAATACCATTTCAAAGATTATTTCTCTTTATGCTTCCTCTTCCTTAGAAGTAAGAAGGATGTGATATGTAGGAGTGGAAAAGAAACAGGGTTGTGAGTGGAGACAGCGGAGGCTAATTTCCAGACTTCCCAAGACTTCAGAGTAGACGCTGACTAACACAAATGCTGAAGCAGAGAGTTTGGGCAGAACATACATCTGGGATTGGCCAACCCTGATAAAGTACATCACCCCAGAAAATAACCTTACAGTGCTGAAATAATTAGAAAAGTAGTAAGCAGAGCCATGAATAGCAAACAATTCTGGCTGCACTGAGATCAAAGCCAAGTCTAGCCATGACGATAACTTCTCGAGCATTAGTCCTAACATAATGCAATCACAGGTTTTAGAATAAGACCTTAGTCCTCCAGCAAAAGGCTGAGAAACCCTGTGCTGTATATATACGCAGCCCAACAGATACATTTTGACAGTATGAATGGCATTGCATTGAGAGGAACTTCCCAGTGGGATTTTCACCTTTGGGCTTACACAGAATAAATTCTACTGGTGAATTAACACGTTGATATTAACATTGGTGAAAAATCAAGTACTAACTGGCATCTCTGTGTGTGGGACAAGTCAGTTAATGCTCTGCGGAACCATGCAGGTCTGTGGTTGGTTTTGCATGTTAGAAGACTGGTTTATTTTGCCTCTCATCGTCATTGAACCTACATCTTCTATTTGAAGTCAATTTCCAATAGATTCATTAAGAGAAGTTACTTACACCTGTAAGGAACCGATGTTCAAAGAATGCAAACATTTAAAAGTTAACAAAGCTGTTTCCCATAATATCACTGGTGTTATGTTCACTTTAACATATGGGTATTTAAAATGCATTTTTTAAATTTTTATAATTTTTTTTTTACATTTTAAGTTTTTATTAAAAAATAAGATGAAGCAAACACTAGAATACTGCTGATATATTGAAGAAAATTGAAGTACAACTGAAGTCCCTGGAAACTCATTTTACACCAGAAAATATCTTCGCTCCCAGAAAAGCCTATCAGTCTTCAAAGTGATTTGTAACAAGTGCACTTTCATGTCAATCAAAATAGTAAAAAATGGCTTCTCCTTTCTGTTTGAATTGCTCCCTAATTCACTATGAATCAGCTCCATTCAACAGTTTAGAAACTCTCAATTTAATAATTGAAGTGAGCAGGAAACACTAAAATAGACTGGTACCTGTAATTCACCACACAAATATGTATGACTGCTCCTTGGGCAAGGAGCAGAAGCTCAGGTATGAAGCCCAGCAATCTGATTTAACACCTAAAAGCAAAACAGGCCCCAAAAGAGCTGGTGTGTGCATCAGGTCACCCACTGAAGTCTGACTGTTGAAGAATGTGGAATACAAAGTTATTAAAATACAGATACATGTTCTATATTGCCTTTCTTATAAGCTGTTCTTAACATTTTCAATGAGAACAAATAAAAGAAAAGGTGTCATACAATTTTGCAATAATAATAAAATATTATTGTAGTCATAATAATAACAATGATAACAACACCTTTCTTCATTTCCACAAAGACAAAATTAGGAAAATATATTAACTGGACAAGTCTGCAGAAAGAGAGAGAATGGAGTCTAAGAAACATACAAAGGGACAATACTAAATAGCAAGGGCACCCTCAGATCAAGCCATTCATTTCTGATGTGGAATAAAACAAAAACTACTGCATGGTAGATAGATTTCCCTCCTTAAAGTTTGTCAATAACTTACATAGACTAATGTGAAATGTTCAGGGGAGTCTATGTCATGGTTTAAACTAAAGAGATTTTCTTTTCCTAATGCCTTACATACTAGTAGCTAATATCAATACTGAAATTTAGTCCTGATTTAATATTTACCTTGTATGTTATAAATAAAAGTGATATTATATGGGATAATTTTATTAAACACACACTTTGCATGGAAACTCCATTTTCCATAACATATTTTTTTGAAACAAAAACAAGACCCAGGCCAAATACTCCCATGCCTAACTAGATTGTCAGGGTGTTTACATTTTGCTTTCTCTCTGTCCTAGTGAAGTTAACCTGTACAAAGCAGGGCAGCAATGGGAATTAAGAGTAAGGTCACAGACATGCATGAGCATAGCATGCTACTCTGATGAATAAGGGAATTTTTTTTCACACATGAGAAATGCATGTTCAGATTCCTTCCAGGCGTTTGAAGGGATTCAGTCTGTGTCTTTCAGCTCTTAAGGTCCCTCAATGTTAAAACCCATTTCAACAAAGTCCAAGCACTTGTTTATCCAGTTCTGTCTTATACAGAACTGTTTATCCAGTTCTGTCTTTTACTGTAGTGACAGGACAAGGGGTAACGGGTTAAAACTTAAACAGGGGAAGTTTAGGTTGGATATAAGAAAGAAATTCTTTCCTGTTAGGGTGGTGAGGCACTGGAATAGGTTGCCCAGGGAGGTTGTGAATGCTCCATCCCTGGCAGTGTTCAAGACCAGGTTGGATGAGGCCTTGGGTGATATGATTTAGCGTAAGGTGTCCCTGCCCATGGCAGGGGGTTTGGAACTACATGATCTTAAGGTCCTTTCCAACCCTAACAATTCTATGATTCTATGATTCTATACAGCTCAACATCAGCCTGCATCCGTTATTCAGGGAGAAAAGAGAAGATGCCTGTTTTTGAGAGCACTTTAACCCTCTAAACTGCTCAGCTGTTTCAAGGATTTAGGTGGCTGCATACATATGCAATGATTCAGATGTACCTGCCTACAGAGCTAGGTAGAGTTGGCTACAAACACCAGGCACTGGAAGAAGATTAGGAGAGCATGAGTACCATCTCTTTATACAGTGCTATACACTATCACTGTGCATCACCAGTACTGAAACAAAAAAAAAATAGCCATCTTTGATAAGGTATTAGTTCATCATGCCCTTCCTGATAGGAATGCAGAGGATGAAGCAAGACCATACCTTCCAAAGGGGTTACACTATGCCAGTTTTTTAAACCTGAACTTGTTCAAGCATTCCTGCTAAGATTTAGAAAGCTAGCTTGGACTGTAGTCCAGAGAGGCCTTAGGGGAGTCACATCCACTCACTGGTCTGGGAAATGACTGTACTTCCTAGCAGAGTGACTCGAGCTGGATTCAAAGGCCAGTGGTGTTAAACAGGTGTTTGGTCTCAGGGCACATGAAGAACTACCATGGTACATTTACTGAGATTTTCTTCCCTTTTCTCTGCCAAGGAGTGAGCCGGTATCATTTAAGCTTAATTGGCAAACCTACAACATTTCCACAGGTCCTGTCCAGGCCTCGACAATTGCAATTCAGCAGAGTAATGCATTTAACATCCCAGCTGTGTGCTTTGTGCCACCACCAAAAGGGCAGAGATTTGCAGAAGGGCACCTTGCCACCCTGACAGTCAAATACTAAGTGGGGTTTTGGGGTGGGGCGTTCTATTTTTACCGCTCTCCTGGAAAAATTGTCCAGCTTCCACCCTAGTTCACCTCTCTGAATAGACCTCGGGGAACTCTCTGCTGCTAAGCAACAGCAAGCTCTCCATATGTGCAGGAATGGCATCTTTCCCTGCTGGTCTCAGCTCTAACGAACACCTTCCCCAGGCACAAACAGCACCACAGCCATGTTCTCTCATTGCAGCAGCAGTGGCTTTAGCCTTCAAGGGCGGTGACATCACTGTAGGAAGGGCATTATTCATGCTGTGCATACTTCAGTCCCTCTCTGTCTCTTTGATGTCTAGAGAATGGCTGTAGGCCAGAAATGGGGAATGTTTTGAGAAGGGCTGGGCTTGATGCAAAAATGGAGCCCTGAGTAGAAATAGGCAGAAATCATTGCTAGAGAAAAGGGAGGCAGAGGCCGAACGGAAGCGATTTCTGTCTGTTCCTGTTCTGGGCTCATGCTCTAGTAAGGTGTCTTTCTCTCTCAGGACACTGATACTCGGCAGGACGGAGCAATCATGCTGCCCTGTCACTGGCAGAGCAGAGCGTGCTCGCTGAGCAGCTGGGCGGGTTCAGCACCATGGACAGAGCCAGGCGGCGGCGGCCCGGTGCGGGGTTGGGGGCTGCTTTTTGGGGCTGTTTTAACTTGAGGGGTGCAGGTTGTAAGTAGCCAACCTCTTCCCCGTGCTACTCCGACACTATGGCCAGCCCTGAGCCCCACGGGGCACCGTCTCCGTACGAGAAGTCTCCTCTAGTCCTCTCCTGAAGGGCCGGCTTAGGAAAGTTAAGACCGGAGAGCGTGACTGCGGAGGAGCGAGGGGCAGCCCCGAGCACAGAGGCGCCGATCAGGGCGAGGGTCGGAATAGCACCGCGACGGAGGGGCTCCGCTCGGGGCTGGACTGTGCAGGGCTCCCGCCTCCCCCGGTAACGCTTATTTTGTGTTTCTCTCTCTCTTCCCCCCCGCCCCGTCACCCTGCTCCCACACCTCCCCGCACGCCGCAGACTCCAAGGCCTGCCGGGCCCCTCGCCCCGCTGTCAGCTCTGCTCTCCAGCCCCTTTCTGCGGCCGCAGCTCGCCTCCCGCCGGCCCTGCACGCGCTTCATCTCGGCGCCCCGTCGAGACGCCACGGGGCCCCGCTTCGGCCCCACGGGCTTGGCGGCTCTGCTGGCAGGCACCGAGGCAGCCGCCCGCTGCCCGCTCGCCGCCCTGCTGCGGGGCCGCTGGGCTGAGCAGCCGCCGACCCCGGCGCCGCCGCCGCCCAGGCGCCTCTCCCCGGAGCGCCGGAGATGCCCAGCGTGCCACGGAGCCGCGCCGCCGCAGCCCCGCGCTGTCCCCGAGCCGCCCGGCGCCGTGAGTACCGCTCGTGGGGCCGCGTCCGCCCCTTCCTCCTCCTCTTCCTATTCCCCACACCGGGAAAGCCGCTCCCGCCCACGTGCCCCCAGCCGACACCGGCGTGGGAGTCTCCAACACTCCACGGGCAAAGCCCGCTGCTTCCTATTTCTACATGCTCCCCAGAACGCTCCCCGAAGCCAGCGACTCCAGCAAGGCGGCTCCTGAGGCCGCCCTGCTCCGCAGCCTGTGCACAAGCGGGAAGGGAGCATCCCCGACAGCAGGGCTGCCCGACAGGCGTCCCGGGAAGGCGCAAAGCGTTCGTGCAGCTGGACAGTCTTGATTTCACGGGAAGACCGTGTCGCTCTGCCTGGGGACAGCGGTGACCCAAGCCAGCCGCGGCCATCCCGTTAACCCTTACCCCGCCGACGGGCGCGCTGCGCCCTTCTAGTAGACTGGGTTTGGGTCTGCCCGAGAGGCCGCGGTGGCGGGGCGTTATCGGTGAATAGTCCCCAAAATGTGGCAGTGTCGGTAAGGGCGCTGCAGAGACGATCGCCCGGAGGAGCAGGGCTAGAGCCGGGCCCGACAGCCCCTGCCCGGGGCACACTTCTTCCAGGGGCTCCCGTGGCCGGGGTGCATCTGCCCCGGTAAACCGGGAGAGCTAGACCGAGAGAGCCCTTTGGCGACGAGCTGTGCGCCCAAGGAAGACAAGAGACGGCTGGGGGAGAGGGAGGATGCATCCTGCAGTTACTTAAAATGCAAGCGTGCTCCAATCTCGGGTTTATAAGCACGACTCCTATTCTTTAAGGCATCTATGTACATTAAAACACGAGCACCGAGCCCCGCGGCGGCATCGCCGCCTCTGCAAGCCCTTCCCACCACCTCCCCTGCGCGCACACACACTCACACGCTCTCACGCTGGTTTCTCCGGCATTCCCCCCCGCCGGCGCCGGCCCCATGGCTCCCCCCGCGCCCTCCCCACGCCGCCGGCGCCGTGCCGCTGCTGCGGCCGCTACTCCCGTTGCAAACGGCCCCTGAAGCTCAGCACTGCCCTGTGCTCGCCTCCCCGGGGACGGCCCTGCCGCAGATCGCCCCGTCGCGCCTGGCCCGGAGGGGAGGGAGAGCGGGCTGCCGCCCTTGCTGCCCCCGGCTCCGGCCACGGCCAGCGAAGCCCATCCGCACTCTCGGCCAGCGTCGTGAGGCGAACCCGCGAGGGCCGGGCGCATGCGCGGGGCTGGCGAGCAGCCGTCCCCGGGCGACCAGCCCGCCGCTACCGGAGTGGAAGCGGGCGAGGAATGCCGGCGGGGCCCCGCCGCCGACACCGTAAGTACCGCTCGGTCTCGCCCGCCGGGCGCCGCGGCACCGCTCCCCGGGCAAGTGCGGGCTCTTTGCCGGCAGCCGCGACCCCCGTGCTGCAGCTGGTGCCGCCCCGGGTGCAGCGGGACGGGACGGGAGGTGCTGCCGACGGCGCCCTACCCGGGAGCAAGCGGAGGGACCGGGCGCCAAAGGCGCTTCCTCTGGTCTCCCGGAGCGTCGGCAGCGCTGGAGCTCGCACCGCCCTGTCCTTGCCCACGGGCTCCTGGTGCCGATCTCTCCGAGTCTCCAGCGTGTGACACCCGGCCCACCTCGGCCCCGGGAGCGAGAGCAAGACGCTCCCCCCGGACTCGGCCCTGCCGCCGCTCCCCCGGGCGGAATCGAGCCCCGCTCCGCGCCGCCTCCCTCGACCCAGCGCTCGGGTCGATCGCTCTCTCCCGCCGTGCACTCAGGGGCTCTTCTTCCTCTTCTCACGAGTGTGGATGAAATCAAGGCAGCATCCATCACCCCTCACCCACTTCCGTGAGGGGAGTCCCGCGGTGCGGCCGTTGTTGGAGGCTTCCCCCGCAAAGTTAGGGAGTAGCAATAAGGAGAGTTCCCATATAGACTCTTCCAGCATAAGCCTGCCACATCATGTGTCCTCGGGTGAGAAAAAGAGCTCTTTCCGAGCTTCGTCATCGGCAGGTAATGAGAATTGGACACAGCTGCAGAAAGTGAAATAAGATTATCCTTGTACATGCCAGTACGAGTTACAGTAGTTTAATACTGATGTAATTTACTTGGTGTGCCCGTTCCATTATTTCATGTTTGCTGCTGAAAAATGTAAGATCAAACTTTTCATTAACTGCTGCCAGTACGACATAAGGGTGAGGAGTCTCCTTGTACCTTTGTGCCCATTGCACAAATGAACATCAGCATCAGGCCCAACGCTCTGTGGAGGTGCATAGTGTGGTGCTGGTGACGGCATTGCTGGACTACGGGACCAAAACCAGTAACCATGAGTTCAGATACACAGAGCACCAAAATTACTATCAGCTAGGAGTCGTACTTGTGCTCAGGTTAAAATCAGGAGCGTCCTTCTAAACTAAGAGCATGTTCAACTCAACTGAATGTAAAACTAGCACTGTGATTTGTAAAATGCTCTAAGATGAGAGAGCAGCTACTTTATTTCCCCTTTAATTTCTTATCTACTTCCCTCCCCATCATTACTTCTTTTAGTAGTAGTGCTCTGGATCACAAACAGTTAATTGTGGAAGCATCCCCTCAGCTGTTACACACCTCTTGAAAGGAACAGTTCGCATTTCACAGAGGGAGTAGTAGGGTTCTGTTTAAAGTACTACGAAGGAGTTGTCAGAGTACAAGGTTTCTGTGCTTCTTGGAGTCCAGGTCTCAAGGTGATGAACCTGAAGTGCAGACAACTACAAAGATTCAGCCAGTTATCAAAATTCATCCCATCTTTTTTTCATCACTAGGAAAAGTTATCCCAAGGAGGCAGCAGGTCTTGGAAACACTGCAGAGATCTCCTAGTGTTCGGAAACAAGAGCATTCTTGGCTACAGGTTCATGACTTTGAACTTTGTAGGTATCTTTTAGAATCTGTCATAGCCAGGTGAAGCAAAGCAGCCCAGGAAGTGTCATGACCCAAACAACAGTGTGCCAAGTCAAATCCAGCTTTCAGTTGGGTCTGGTAATACTCCTCCTGGCTGATGCTGTGCCATTTGGCAACTACAGCTGAGCTTGCAAGGCAGACGGTTGCTACTGCAGAGTATCCCCTGCCCAAGCAGCCAGATGCCAGTGTAGTACAATCCGAAGTGAATCGCAACAATCAGAATCAGTAAGTACGTGAATCACTACTTAATGCACCCCAGGGTGAGTCATCCCGGTTCTAACCATCTTTCAGCCCCGTACAGTGTCAGTCAGCTCCTCACACAGTTCGATGTGAGTCAGATCTCGGCACCGAGTACAACATGAAATGAGTCACCAGCTAATACGGCGCCATGTGACTGCCATACCCAGTGCGAGCTGTCAGAGCTTCTGTGTGATATGAGTCACTTCATAGTACAGTAAAATGGGCTTTTTTGGAGACCATTCATAATTGAGCACAATGCAACCAAGCGCTCAGGAGGAGATGATGGGAGTGAGCAGAGCAATCTGCTCTGTGCACCGGTTTCACTGTTTGCATAGTGAAGAGGTTTGTAAAATATTAGGATGAATGAATGCTTTTTTTTTTTTTTTAAAGCAAGCTGCATAAAAATAACTGGAAGCAAATACTTCCTCTGACATTAAAGGCAGCCAGAGCAGGGCTGAAGCAGCAGTAAAACTCCCAACACTGGAAAAGCCCAGGGTTTTTTTGCTTGTTTTTGTTTCCAGGAGAGCTGATCAGCCAGTGTGAACTGACATATATCCACTGAGGCTGACTCCAGCTGCCACGGAAGACAAGGGCTGCCAACAGCCTGGGCTATTCAGAGCGGGACTTGACAGGAGTGTAACGTAACTGCAGTTCACAACCTGGTTTGTGAAGGGACTCAGCATGCAACAAAGTTACACCCATGTTTGTGTTTGTTCTGCTCCGCTATTGCAGTACCTACATAAATGGCTGGACCAAGTTACTTTCTATCCAACAGGTGAAAAGCTTCCCATGTCTTTCCCATGTTACTGAAGAAATAATGAGTGACCCTGCTGATTGCATGTTAGAGTAATATCTTCAGTGAAGTATCTTGTGATAAAATCCAAAGCAATACTTTGCAATGCTACCGGAGAAGATACAGTGCATCCCTCTAAAAAAATAGGCAAAATACTGAAACCCCAAGTAACCACATTTCTTGACACGAAAGCAGATTTTACTCAGAAAAATACTTCAGTGTAGGAAGTTTTCTGCAGACAGTGGGCTGATCTGATGGCCAAATGTGCAGCACTGAATACCAGAGAAAAAGGAATAGAAAATACCTAAGTTCTTGGTAAGAAAAAGACCTCCGTTATAGGTGACATGCTCAAGGTACCATTAACCGGTTACTATGTGGGTGTGAGAAGCTTTCAGCCATTCCTTTTGAAATGTAAAGCAATGCTTTAATCTGGATAAATGAACACAGCTCTTTCCAGCTACTGTTCCTCTGGAAAAATAAATTAAATAACCAGGTAAAGGCACTCAATTTCTGGACATTTTACATAAAAGCATCTCAGAATTGTTATTTAAGCTCATAGAATTTATCTATGCAATTTTATCCACTTAAGCCTTTGACAGACTTGGGTGCAACAAGGATATGAGAAGCTGTTTAATTTTGTGTGGCTGTCAGTCTCTTCTCTGGTAACCTCTGTCGTGCATTCACAAAGCCTCAACCATTTCAGTCATCCCACTGTGATATGCCAAAAAAATCACTTTCAAAGAGCTCTTGCTCTTAACTCCCTAAGTGGGCAATCCAATAACTATGCCTAAAGCCTGTGCATATGTGTGGGTGAGATCATTAACATCTATTATAATTCTTCTCTATCTAAAATAGTGCACTGCTTGATGCAGAAAGCCTGCGTGTCAGATTTGTCAATGAAGAGGAAGAAGCATGAGCATGGAGCTTTCTGTTCATATTTCAGTTGACAGTAAACTATCACAGGCTTCAGTGAGAGTACGCTGAGCAGTCCCAAATATTTCTAAACTAACAGAATACAGATTCAGAGACTTACGTAGGGCTTACCCCCAGTTTCAAGCCTCTTACGACATTCGCAGGTATGGACAGAATCTCTTTTTTCTAGCTCACTGGTTATCATTATTGGGGGGATCTGAAGAGAAAGCAGCAATGACCAGAGTTCCGTACCCTCACCTAATGCTTGCTAAAACCAACAGGTGGTTTTCCTTCTTTCATGCAGTTTGGATCAGGCCTCAGTTATTGACTGAGAAGTAGCCAGGCTGTGATGACCCCCATCTGGGAACTCACTACCACAGGGGTTCACAGGCTGTGTAGTTCCTGTGAAAGCCCCATGCTGGGGCTGCACAGATCAGCCCTGAGGACAAGTTAAGGCTTGTCCACCTGCCTGAGTGTAATGAGTGCAAGGAGGAAACATTATGCCTAAGGAATCATATTTAATAGAATATCTGCACTTTGAGCTGAGAAAATGTCATTGTGCTTTAGCATAAAAAGAGGATAAAAGTACAAAATCCATTGTCTACAATCTTCCGTGTATCTTTTGTTTGGGGTTTATTTGGTTGGGGTTTTGTTTTGGTTTTAAATTTGACATTTGTGGCTTAGATTTTAAACATTCCTCCTTTGAAGACTATTTGCTTGGTAGCCCACCTATTTCTACCGAGACATTAGCAAATACTACAAATGTTACACCTAAGTTAAATATAACCTGAAGTCCTTTTAGCCAGGGAAACAGTTTCTGTTCCTGACCTTCACACTCCTTTGCATTTATCAGGGTACATACAGAACTGCCTCATAATCTGAATGTCAGACAGGCATGCCTTGGAGTGGAAAAGGTACATCAGACATATGTATTCCAGTACATCAACATTACTCTTAAGGCGTACCATAGTTTTTCCACTGTTATCAGAAGTAGCTTTTTTGGATGCTTGCTTAAATCCCTGGGTTTCTGTTTTTTTTTTTAATTACCCATTAGCATTCAGTAATAAGAGCTTGTACTTTATATCTGAATCATAGATGCTAATAGCTGGATAAGAAGCAAGAGCATGTGTCATTATTTTTCCTCTATTTTTGGTTTATTGCTTTTTAGGGACATATTATGATGGACTAAATTTGTTATCATTATATAGAGAAGGACCTTGCTCTCCCTGAGACACTCAGAAACTGCACCAGGCATTTGCATAGATGCTACATTAGATTGACTTGAAACAGTGAACTGACCAGAGATGAGCTGACCAACTCAACTCCTACTTCCCTTTCTCAATTAAGTATTTGACTAATTTTGACAGTTCTGTGGATTCCTCCAGGCAGGACCCACTGTGCCTAGACAAGTTTATGTTTCAATGTGCTGACTAACATCCAGAGTGGAGAATATGGC